TTTTACATCTTCTAGTTTACCACCGACTCAGTCTCCGCCGAATACAACCGTGTATAAAACAGTGGATTTCTTAAAAACCGAAGCGTTTAATCGTACCCGCCAGCGAGTCGAGGAAGAGAGGAAACAGTGTACGGACGAACTTGCTTAATGTGAGCTTTTATTTTTGATTGTTAAATTTTTGAACAAAACGAAAGGAAGCAAAAGAAGATTCGTAAACGTTTCTACATAGTGCATAGTACTGTTACTATTTTACTAGCATTCTACGACATTACAAGACTGCGATTGCTACGCAGTACTTAGCGACTCACCTGACGCTTTTTAAATTTTTATGTTTGTTATTAAATCGAAGATGCTTTCGGATCTTCGTTATCAATGATATACGACTAGTTGGAAACCGAAGAGATAGCAATATTCAATGGACCAAAAATGTAACGTTAAAGTTAAGGGAACACGATGAAGAGATAAGAGAGCTCTTTCCCGAGACTCGTTGTATCAGAATTTGTTAAAGAATTTTTAATTAGAAGAGTAAGTATTATTAAATTTAGGAATGGTCATTGTTTTATATAGGTTACATATGATTAAATACGAGAAAGAGGCATTTTTAATATCGACCATATAACGAACTAAATATGTATGGTATCGCTGAAATTCTTAATTTTAAGTATTGAACAAATAATATGTAATATATTTTCGATGTGCCTGAATTTATTGTTTTTGAGGTGATGAGTTATTTGTTATCGCATATCATGAACGAACAGTGGAATATCATATTTATAAATGCCGATACGATAAACATAAAAATTGCTTTACAACTATTTTTGAGGTAATGATCGCGCAAAGTTTGGTCTTTATAGTCTTTAACGAAAATTGTTGATATAATTATTTATGTCTTAAAGCATATCTCGGTTAAATTATCTCTTTATTTCTTATATTTTCTTTCCTTTTATGACATTATAGAAAAATTTTTGAATATCTAATTCATAGTTACCTATTGGCAGTGTGTTCACTGACAGTAGTTATTACCTTGTGGTAATAGAAATCCTGGCCATAAATTCGTAACAAACGAAACTTGCGCACATATTATGTAACGACTATTAAAACACGAAATCGCATGCCATAGTTAGATGTGTACACATAGACATGCACTAAAAATACATAGAAATATATTTATGTATTAAAAAGTGTATACATATACAATAATATATATGTATACAGTTTATTTTTATAATAGCTGCATTGTAATGACCTTACCAATGAAATTTTATACATTATTGGAGACCTCTTTCGCTTATTGTTTTTATAAGACAAAGCAAGATGGATTTACAGTATTCTTTAATTGCTGGGGTTTCAAGGTGTCCTGACTTAATAATACAATCGAAAACAAAGAGTGTGAATAGAGTAGTTTCAGAATATAATTTATAATTTTGCATAGGTATGTGATCCTGAAACAAAGTACATTTACACGTTAATCTATATTATTTGTAGTAACGTACCACCACGCGTGACTGATATCATTGAGGAAGAAAACGCACAAAACATCTCACTAACATATCTACTACCCTTAGCAAAATGTATTTCTTGATTGAAGATTGAACAAACTAAACGTCTGTTATAGAAATCATTCTAAGTATTGGATGAAAAAAGTGTTTTCATTATTAATAAAAAAAAATAGAACCAATTAGTCACTGTGACTTAAGCGAAATATTAGTTTAAACAATATCTTAATTTATTTACAATATACAGAATGAGAAAATTCAACAGTAATCAGAGGAACTATTCGTTAGGTGACAAGATTTATTGCCATTCACTTTCTTCTGAAAATTAGAAATTTTTTGAACTTTGAAACATTATATTATACAGTTTTGTATCATTTTCATGCTCCAATGAACATAATATTAACCTGTAGCAATTATTTTAACCCATTTGATTAAATACTTTCTACCAGGGGTAGTAGCTTTCTATAAAGACTCATGTTTAAAAGAAATCTAAATAATTTTTCGACTATTAACGGTTAGCGCAGTTCAACTGTAGTGCATCAGTCGAAAGCTACACAGTGTTCATTAGTGCGATTAACTAAACCTGATTTTCATATAAATAAGTACATACACTGAAAATTTCGTGCACTCGACTTTTCAATGATATAGTGTGTGATGTTATGCATTACCGATATCGCTCAAATTCATATTTTTAAACGATAGATTATACAAATCTGAAAATGTTTCAGTGGAAAATGTGGAATAAGAGTTTTTAAAAGAAAAGATGGTCCTTCTTTATTTACTATTACTATTTGTAATAATTAAACTGAAAATTTTATGCATTCATAGTAAATATGAAGATTCAAAACATGCTAAAATAAAATCTTTACCAAGCGTTCACAATGTTTTCGTGTCACAAACACGCTAGTGTATCCTAAGTCTGTGTTACAAATTTAATAAACTTTGTAATGTTATCTTTGATGTTGAAATTATGGAGAAGTACTATTACAAAAACAGAAATTGGCCCAAACATCTGCAGTCTAGTAGCTTATAAAACTAATGTTGACTAATTTTCTATTAGAATAGGTTTTTAATTGCTGAATGTCAAATTGAAAATATATTATACATATCACGCATTGTTTAATGCATGTGTGTTACTACATTTTATATTAGCTTTCGTGCATTCATTTCTATTTAAAGACCACAGGGGAACAGCATGATATGTCCATTTTGATTGATTATCCGATTTTTATGTTAGTACTTAATAGAGAATATTTTAACACGACATGGTTATATAAAAAGGAGAATAACCTGTCAGGGCTGAAGATACAAATCTTAGAAATAAGTGTACAGGGAAATAACATGACAAGTCCAAGTGAAATAGTGGAATAATATGATAAGCTATGAAGTTTCGTAACAAACCAAGAGAATAAGTCATGTTATGAGAATAAATATTTTTAAAATGTTCAAGATCGTAATAAATGTCAATATGAAATAAAAACACAGTTTTAATAATATGGTTGAGAGCAGTTTGAATTTTAAAATTGCTCTCCTATAAAAAACGGAAAATGTAACTCATCTTGTTTATTTCTCTGGTCTTCATTTGTTGAATCAAATCATGACTAATTAACGAAAATGAATTAAAAACGTCAATCAATAACGCCACCTCGAAAGGGTCTATTATCATTGGACGATAAATCTGAAAAAACTGCTTTATCGATGCTGCTGCCAGAAGACCGTTCGAATGTTCCCGCGAACGCTGCCAGGTTATTGGCCTGCTTGATGGTTGGTGGTGGTGGTGGGACCGGCAGAAAACAGAGCCTCATTCGCTCGCTAACCGTCGAGCGTGTGTTCGTTGTTTCTTTTCGTGTTTACCGCGTACATTGTTTTCCTGCGCCGCGAAACACGGAATTGCACTGTTGTCTATAACCTGTCGCCGCGAACAGCATCCGAAGTGGTTTCTTTTTTTTTGTTGTGTGGATCCTGTGAAACATTGAATTTTTTGTGTTTTTCCTTGTCGACCATTGTATCAGAAAGTGTGCCTCCCTGCGCAATTGGCCTGTTTCGTTACGGAACCCGAATTCAACGCAACGCAACGAGTTGAAAAACATCGAAAACAATTGCGATCGCATTTCGAACATCGCTTCCAACGTAAGTTCAGACAAATTTCAGCATAATGTATATACACATAAATTAAAGTTCCACGTGATGATTTATCCGCTACCACTTGTTGGTCTCTGAGATGCACCTAAGAGAACAATGACTGGGTGTTAATATTTGCATCTTTCATTCTTTCGGGGTTTATTTTTCACATATTCAAGGACGGTTTACCAAGTACAAGTTGATGTAACCTTGACTTCAATATCTTCTGTTAATTTTATGTTTCAAAAAAGTATGTTAGGGAAAGGTGGAAAGTTACGGGAGGGGAAACACGACACAATAGAAAATACATTTCTATGACCACTTTTTTCATATACTATCAATGTCATTAGTATTTTCACATATGGAACACGAGTTGTACCTTGCAATGATTATTGAGACTAAGGTAAATGTAGTGATCATAGGTACGCGGATATTTTTTTACGATTAAAACATTGATTTTATTTAATTTGTCTGTTATAAGTGTCCCTTAAGTGTTTTATAATTAGGATTTCTGTATTCTGAGAATTACAATTCTTCCACTGAAAAATGCGTAGTAGCACACGACACCTTCGCGACAGATGTAAAACAGCAAAGTAACTAGAGAATCGATATGTTTTTGTTTTGCTTTCGGCGTTCAAAGTAGACTACAATGAAAGGAGAATGAACATATCGCGACTGAAACCATAAGATGCAACAGTAAGAAGAAAAAATAGCAATGTATTTGTAATTGCTGTACTCGCCTTATTACATCGTTTAGTTATTAAACTTCTGTACTATTGGCCTTAATAATTGGATACTTTATTATGATTATGCTAACAATGTCCTGTTTGTCATTTCGCTCTTTACACTGTTTATTTTCCCCTGTGTTATTTATTATTAATGTCAATACAGTCAGACATGTTAAAGTTACGACCATAATTTCGACCAAATTGTCGTAGCAAAAAAGTGATATATAATCGTTAATCCGCAAATGTTACAAGAAAATAATATAAAATTTTTTCATGTGGAAATTGACATAAGCAGACTGGTCTCGTTCGGTTAGGTTATTCTGGGACACTTCATATAATAAGAGTCGATCTTTTGAAATATTGAACGAACATGTGCAGAGAATGTATCTAATATGCTCTACAGTCGCTCTAGTCCCAAACATCGAATCAGCTTTTCGGTGGTTATTTGCATGATATTAGGTCCCTCGGTTTCTCTAAGACACGAAAACTAAAAGTCTGGCCAAGTGTCAGCCAGCAGGTTTCTCGACCACTTGTGGATTTTCCAACTATGTAACCAGCTGAATCGACGTAGTCTCATGCATACCGTACCTCACAGTGTTCATTACAGTTGTTTCTTCGTTTAATAATC